ACCGTGTTCGCAGAAAATATTTATCCTAGCCACGAACATGCGTACAAAATTTATGAGTTGGTTCGTGTCCAATCTATTTCGGACAAATTATTTTTATCTAGATAAACATTTCTATGGTTTTGACAGATGGGATCACTGCACATTTAAATCGGCCGTTATAGATTCTCGATCAGGGATGGAAAATCATTTACATTCATTTACATTCATTTGCTTCTAACTTTTCTCATCAACAGAATTCTATAAAATAGAACAAACACATCTTTTGTAAACAACTCAAATCTGTATCTCTTATGCATGATTAATCAGAGCGATAAGAACCCACTATTGTTTTTCAGTGAATGTAAATTGCATTCACTAAAAAACAATAACATGTTCTGCCAGCTCTATTTCGTCATGCATAAGAGATAAAGATTTTAGTTACTAACAAAAGTTGTAGTTCATATCAAAAGCAACAAAAGCTTCATACATTATTTTACGGTATTCTGTTGACGAAAAAAGTAAGAGGCAAATGAATATAAATGAATGCACGAAATGAATGTAAATGATTTTCCATCCCTGTTCTCGATCAAGAGTTAAGTTTAAGTTTCATGTCGGTTTGTCGATGATTATACCATAGAGGTAACTCTAATAGCAGTAATATGAAAAGCTTCTCTTGAATCTGCTTTTGTGCTATTATACACTAATCGGACAGGATGTTTCTGGTTGGTGGCTACAATTCTATTTCTGACTATTTGAATCAGTGAAGTATCATAATTGGACAGAACTACAGAAAATACGGGATTTTGGGGCAAAATATGACATTTTTCTTGAAGGAAGTCATATGTTACAATGTGTGGTTTGAGCGGCAGACAATTTCAAGCCTTTTTGCTACCAAAATCCCCACTGTGCGCTGATCGGATTCAGTTCGAATGACCGTGTGTGGTTGTGTCCGGTCGTCGGCATCAGCAGCAGCAGCAGCAGTGCTTTCGAGGCGTGGCGTTCAGCATTGTTCTCCAGTGCACAACGAAAGGCTGCCTGCAAGCAGCGAGCTGTAGCCCACATGAGCATCCATAGAAGGAGGAAGAAGCCGCACCGCTATTGATCGGAATCAGTAGCTCTTCGTGAGTCGCTGTGGGCCATCTATGCCAAGCGAGTCACCCTCATTCCAAATAAATAACATACAGCTCACCAGCCTCATCTGAGTTTAACACCCTAATAGCTCAGCATTACTCAACCATCACGACAAAACGGTCCTTTTCAGGACCACTATTTATTTGTAAAAGAGTATTTTTTAGACATTTGTCAAGCTTATCAATCTGATTTAAGTACCCATTTCATGATAGAGCTAGAATTAGGGCGTAGCAGCTTTTTTAAACAATGACTTCTTTCGATGATGTCATATCATAACCATCAGGTAGGGTAAGACCAAAGATGAATACTAAGATGAAACTGTCGGAAGAAAAACTTTCTATTTTAGTGTTCTCTTTCACGGTCCCTTTCATCCAATGAATACCCCCAGTATGCAAGGTAATTTTGTGGTTTTGCTGCCCCCTCGGTAGAGATGAAATTTTGCGCGCTTTTTTATCAAAACAATCACACCAAAATCAGAGATGTCCCAATTTTTAATTACTCGATTAACAACTAATCGATTATTTTTTGTTCGCTGTGCAGTCATTTTTCCACCAATGAGAGTGCAAAACTTGTTTGAAACGATCGGTGATGATCCTCTGCAGAAGTTAATGCTTATATCGGCATGATATAACCGATTACAAATATGTTACTGTTTGGTTCGTTAGTCGATTAATCGATTATTCGAATGAAAATCGGCCATCACTAGATGAATGCGAAACATCATTTCAAATATTAAGGACCGTACATAAATAATGATACAATTTGAAAGGGACCGAGGCTAATCACAAATTACGCCCCCACGGTAACTGAAATACACACGAGTGTTCACCGGTTGGTAAGACTACCCGACGGTAATGTTGGTTTGCGTGAGCGTGCCTCAAATTCCTAAAAAAAACAACGAGAGAAATCAATGTTTACAAAAGCTGTTACGCCTAATTTCAGCTCTATCTAGATATATTTAAATCTAACATACCATGTTCTTGAAGGCAACATGGAGGAGGGGCGGTGCAATTTCATAAACCAAAGTCGGTTGTGGCATGAAAGTGGCTTGATGTTGATCCAGAGATGATGGATTTTAATTCTTAATACGATAGGAATTTTTTCTACGCATCTGTCAAAATTAAGACTTTATCATTAATTAGTCAAAATGTCACTAATGAAAATTGCATGAATGTGCACCTGTTGCTATGATAGTTAAAATTATCACCGGTTGAATGCAAAAAGCGATTTCCCTAACACAGATTTCAAAGTTGAATTCCATCCGGTCTCACCAAACGGTGTTTATTCAATCACCGCGGGGTGAGTGATATTCTCCAGTACACAACGAAATCCTGCCTACAAGCAGCGAGCTGCAGCCCAGAGAAGCATCCATAGAAGGAGGAAGAAGCCGCACCGCTATTGATCGGAATCTTCGTGAGTCGCTGTGGGCCATCTATGTCAAGCGCGTCATACTAAGGCTCTGAACCATTTGGTGGATTTTTTTAACTTTTGGTTAAAATTTGACAAATGGAAAGTTATCGATTAACCCTGCTATCCGAGCGTGGTTACTTCTGACAGACAAGAAGTTAAATTTTGACAACTGTGGCTCGAAAACCGGTCGATCAACAGCACGGGGATTTTCGAACATAGAAAATAATTTTCGAAATGTCACTTTTAACCACGAGTTAAATTTAACTCGGCAAATGGTTCATAGCCTAAAGAGTATGAACAGAGATAACCCCGCTCGAATTCCTATTACCTATTACACAAAACACAAGCTCCTGCCGCAGTTAAGACCATGTAGTCCTACGTCACCATTGCGCTGGCTGTCCCTTGTAATTTTTGTTTTGGGAAAATAAGTAGGAGTTTCTTTCTGCGCCGGGTGATTGCACCCTTGAAGGTCAATTCGTACGGTAATAGACGCATTTCGCGCCAAATCGTATTCGGAGCTGGCAGCACCCTCTCAGATTTCAATGAAACTTTCTGGATGTGTGGACCTTGACTAAATATGCCACTTTGCATACTTAGTTTTTCCAAAATTTATCTAGACTAACATTTGAGAAGGGCCAAACTTTTTCAGCCGAATTTTTTCAAAAAAAATATTATGGAAAAACGACAACTCCTACAAAAATGTGTTGTATGGATGACTTTTAGGAAATTGTCCAAGTTATCGAAAAAAAAAATACTGAAAAAATTTCATTTGGGACCTACACTGAAAAAAAATTGATTTTTAAAATTTATAGTCGATTTAAAAAAATGGCCATTTTTGATTTGAATGAAACTTTGCCTCAAGATAGGTAATTATGTTTACTATCAACCGTCCATACATTGCAAGATGGGCACTTTTAAGGAAAAAAAGTTTTTCTTACAAAAACTTTTTCATGTCTGAACTGATTTTTTTAACGTACCATTTTTACACAAAACTAAACCAGTGAAGCTCAAAATCATCTCAGAACCCAATGAAGCTCCATTTGTGATTCAATTTTGTCTAATCAGCAACTAATCACTTGGATTAATCGAAAATTCCATATTTTTCAGTGTATGTCTCAAATGAAATTTTTTTCAGTATTTTTTTTTTCGATAATTTGATCAAATTCCTAAAAGTCATCCATACAACATATTTTTGTTGGAGTTGTCATTTTTCCATAATATTTTTTTGAAAAAAATTGGCAGAAATAGTTTGGCCCTTTTCAAATGTTGTTGCTCTCGAAAATCTTGAAACCAAACCCTAGAGGTAACTCTAAGACCACTGGGTCCCGAAGAAAATCATTATTATTTTTGGCTCACTCAGTAGCAGAACAACGGTCCCAAGCAGTCCCAAGCTATTTTACTCACCCCTGCATGTTCTGCATGAATCCACACACCCCTGATGTTATCTGTCAAACTTTCATAGCAAATCAAAACAAACATAGTGTAGTAATAGAATTTCAACTAGAATAGGGTACGTTAATCGTTTGCTTGTGACCAATAGGCTACTAAAGTGGTGAGCCAATTTAAAATCGTTAGTTTCGTATTGATTGTTGCTATTAGGCTGTGGACCTACACGGTAAGAAAAAAGTACTCAAAATTAAGTTCTTTTTACTCATCTTGGCACTATAGTGCAGGAACCCAAAAGTAGGTAAAGCGGGCCAAAGTAGTTTTCATTTACTTGTGTACAATTGGGTTCTTTAATTTTGAAAAATGTATCGTTTTTTATACATCATCTGAAAGAGCTTCGTTTTCGGAGCACAGCGATATTTTTTACGGACCCACACACTTTCATCTCGATTTTTAAATTAAGATATAAAGCAAAATAATAACTTCCCTGTTTGACACTAAACTAACAAACTGACATCTCGCTCCCATACAAAGTGACACCGAGGGGCGCTAATAAGGTGATTTTTGCAAATGTAATCGTACTTATTTAAAATAGTTCCAGTGTACCAAAATTGATGAAATTTTGGGTTTGGGTTCCAATTTAAATGCAGATTACGAATATGCATTTACCTCAATACCCTTAAAGAACCCAATTCGTATGGAATTTTCCACTAGCTTTCTACCCAAAAGTAAGTTAGTTGTACCCAAAAGTAGGCAAATATGATTATACTCAACGTTAGGTTCCCACACTTTACTACCCCTAGGTAGGTAAAAGTGAACTTGCCGTTGGGAACTTTTTTCTTACCGTGTATAAGATTTTGCGAGTTGAGGGAAAAACCACGGCCGTGAACCGCCATCTAACTTTCACGCAAGTTGGAAGGCATATCATTGGTGAGTGTATCAGCTAGAAAGAAGTACTAGATTATACATCTGTCCCATCTGAGTTCGTATCGTGCAGCCCCTCGGGTCTTGTTTTCATCGTGTTTCGCATCAGTTCTGTTTTGATTACGTGCTTCGTTCGCATCGCAGTCGTTGACAGTAGTTTCCAACGTGAACGAGCTGAGCACGTTTGTTTACATTGTAAAAAATAGTTAATTTTGATGCGTTTTCATTGCCTTTAATCTGATAAACATGGTGAAAGTTGAGCCGTCTTCTTCGGGTAAATAGTGTTTCATGTCTTACCAACCAATCAACTCTGACATTGCTGTGCTTTTATCTGCATTTTCCCAGAATCCGATAGCGACATCCCACAAACCCCACTGGCTGCTTCTACACAAAGCTCCCCGCCTCCGGCCAAAAAAATCAAATCCAACCATAGTGATAGCGATCATAGCAGCGCATCTCATGAATCGGAAGATCCGGCTCCAGCTTCGCAAGCCAGCATGGCATCGAACACCCCGAGCTCGGTTAAGAATACCGTGGAAAAGTACCTCAACAAGTTTCCCTTCGTTAGACGCAGCAAAGCCAAGAACAGTGTCGATATCGATCTGACCGATTCCGATGACGAAGTTTGGATAGTCAAGTGTCCAACGTCCATCAATGCTAGGAAACTGCTGCATGGAGCTAAACTGGAGAGCTTCCCGCTGGAAACGGTTAGCAAGATTAATTCGCCACACACGGAACAGCAACTGGAAGGATTCGTTGTCAAGAATGCCATCCAAAAACCAGTCACCATCATGTCCGGAACGGAGTTCAAATCTTTCGTACCGGTGGGTACGATACAAATTCGTGAAACTCTTCAGATAGAAAAGATTCCGACCAAGTTCGTCAGAAGCGAAGGTCAGAGGACGGCGGCTATCGACGTCGACGAGGAGATTCCATTTCCAGAGGAGATCCGAGTGCGTCATCCACTGCTCGGGTTGAAATATAAGGCGGCCCTCAAACTACCGAAACGGGTAAAGAAAGCTCTTTCGCTGGCACAGCAACGGGCGGACTCGTGCTATTTGCAGAAGGATGCAAATTTGGGTATAGTTGCTGACGCCGGTGAAGAACAAAAGGAGCACGTTGCCGAGAAAAAGTCAAAGAAACGCAAGCATGATGAGCTGGAACTGTCGGCTGACGGTCCCACTGGCGATATGATTAAAATGCTGATCAAAGAGGAAGCACAGTCTCCCTCGAGGAAGAAGAAGGTGAAGAAGGAGGTGGCACAACCGGTGGATGACGATTTGTCATGGTTGAACAATATGTGAGTTGTAATGGGATCAATATTATTAAACAGAGAGCGTTATTTGCGGATGCTGTGTTGTGTTTCATCGAAAGAACAACTGCATTATATATCTTTATAAATTATAAAGGAAACGATCGACGTTAAAAGTCGATTGACTGTAAAACTGTTAAAGTACTCAATGTCGGTCACAGAAGATCCCTGAACTATTAAAGGAGAACCAGGTGATGCATTAATGTTCAAGCCATTTTTTCCACTAATTTAATTCATATATATTGTTACAATTTTGATACCTAGCAACAACAAAATAAAATAGCATTCGTACCATGATCAGATTCATAGCAATTTAAAATTAAAATGCGCATAGTTCATTTGAGATACTGAAGCTAATCAAGATCTTGACGTAAAATATCATTATAGAGTTGGAGCGGAAATGAGACTCACTCCTCGTCAGCCGCGCAACGGAAGCCCAGATTTCCCGCAGAGCTATCCTCCGTATTCTGAGATCTCGCCGCACACCGATAGCGATAACAGTACGACTCATGGCACAAGTACGATCCACCCTTTTTCACTCGATTCGGCGGCTTAACGTTTTCCTTCGCATCCCACAAGTCGGCAGTCCACTCCCACACGTTTCCGACGATGTTGTACAAATCGAACTGATTCTGCTTGAACTTGTCCACCGGGCAAGTACCCACGCATCCATCCTCGGCTAGATTATTCTCTGGGAATTCTCCTTGCCAGATGTTCACGAAGTGCTCATCCCTCGGCATCAGCTTGTTTCCCCATGGGAACAACTTCCGCTTCTTTCCACCCCTGCAAGCAGCTTCCCATTCCGCTTCCGTCGGTAGTCGTTTTCCCAGCCATTTACAGTAAGCCACGGCATCGTTCCACGTTACGTGAACCACCGGATGATCCGTCCGATGTTCGATTCCTCTGGACTTATCCCCTTCCGGATAACGCCAACTAGCCCCGGAAACCTTGTACCACCACAAGGCAGCCGCTACTCGGAAGTCCTTATATTGCTCCCTGACCTTCGGATCCAACAATTCTTGAAACACAAAACTATCGCCGAACTGTTCCGCCTCCGTTATGTAGCTCGTTTTCTCAACAAAATCCTCAAACTCACGATTGGAAACTTCGTAACGATCCAGATAGAATGCCTTAATTTCGACTTCCCTTTCGGGTCCTTCGTGGTCGCTGATGAAAAATGGTTCGTTGGTTCCAATGAGATACTTTCCTCCCGGGATCAGGCTCATCCCTTCGATTTTTCTCGAATGCTTTACCAGCTGGGCCATGCTCTCCTGTTTTTGGTTTTCATGATGATGCTTTTGGCCAGGAAAAATCACTTTCTCCGAGGGAGGCTTTTGACCCGGTCCCGATTGTTTGAGCTTGTTGCAGCCACAATCCGGAGTGGCCGGGTCCACCACTACACTCAATAGGGCCAATGCGATAAGGCGAGCATGAAAAACCATGACGGTCTGTAGAAAAATTGAAATTCATATCATCATTGCATTGTAAACTGCATTTTATAAGTTCAAAGGCTTACCCGCTTATAAGGTCGTCGTATCCGAATTCAAACAGCTGATAGTTAAGATAAGAAAACAAAATTGATTATTAATCTAACAGCGAATTCGTTTATTATCGGGGTTGGAACCAGTTCCAACCCAGTGCGAAACCGAACTTTTTGTCAGTGCGAACCTCAACCTGAGCTAGGTTTTAAAAACAAACGAGCAAACTGACGTTTGTCAGAAAACAAGCAGACCCAATCTTGATACCCGATCCAGGTTGGAACTGAATAATAAACGAATTCGCTATAAATTTATCGCGATTCGCGATGTTTGTTTGTGCTTTGTTGATATAAATGATAAGAAATCGAGGGGTGTGACGAATGATTTTAATGCAGAGTAGTTAGATGCGGTACTAGAAGATGGGTTCGGGGTAAGACCACAAACGAAGTGACAGACGGAGCGGCTCGAAAACTTTGGTGACTAACCTGCTATTTCAATTTTTCAGTGTACCACATGGCAACACCACTACTACTGGATTGTACCACATGGCAACACTACTACTGGATTGAACTAGCATTTTCACCAAATGTATCAGAATGTTATGATTCTATCTCTTCCACTCTACTCAAAACTGAAATGCATAAAAAAAATTACAAAATGATACGCACTCTTTGCACACTGTCAAAGAATCATTGTACACAAAATCAACTCTGTTCAAATCAAAACAAAAAAAACTAACCCATCTGGTGGATGATGGCACAAGCTTCCAAGAAAATTCTATTACAGTGAACCACATTATTTTAATTGATTTCTTCGCCAGTTAGTCGTCTGTCACTTCGTTTGTGGTAAGACGGACAACAAACAGCTGGGACAAAATAGACCTGCGGTTTTTTATTGGGTTCTTTAAGGATATTGCGAGGGATATTGTCGGTCAAGTTGGACTCCAGTATATTGCCAGTGTACCCCGAAAATTTGGTGCTGGTGGTGACAAAACCATACCAAACTCATAAGTTTCAGAAATGTTATCTGAATATGGCGAATGCGGAAATGATGAACAGTAAATAAAATCACTAACGAAGTGACAGACGACTAACTGGCGAAGAAATCAATTCAGGCATAACATTTGATAACGGCACAAAAGCATTTGTAAACAAACTTTCTAAGGCCCTTTACATGCGAACCAAAGTACACCCACGCAAACCAACAACATCATCGGATAGGGGCCACTATCACCTTTCCGAAAGTGGTATTGGTTCGCGTGTAAAGGGCCTGAGAAAGTTTGTTTACAAATGCTATTGTGCCGTTATCAAATGTTATGCCTGAATTAAAGTAATGTGGTTCGCTGTAATAGGATTTTCTTAGAAGCTTGTGCCATCAGCCACCAGATGGGCTAGTATTTTTGTTTTGATTTGAACATAGTTGATTTTGTGTGCAATATGATCTTTGACAGTGTGCAAAAAGTGTATCATTTTGTCATTTTTTTATGCATTTCAGTTTAGAGTAGAGTGAAAGAGATAGAACCAAAACATTCTAGTACATTTAGTGTTGCCATGTGGTACAATCCATTAGTAGTGTTGCCATGTGGTACAATCCAGTAGTAGTGGCATAGAGGCAACTCTAAGACCACTGGGTCCCGAAGAAAATCATTATTATTTTTGGCTCACTCAGTACCAGAACAACGGTCCCAAGCAGTCCCAAGCTATTTCACTCACCCCTGCAAACGATTAACGTATCCCATTCTAGTCGAAATTCTAGTACTACGAAATGTTTGATTTGATTCGCTATGAAAGTTTGACAGATAAAATGAGGGGTTAGTGGATTTTCCTATGTTTCGAGGGGTGAATCGATTAGCTTGGGACCGAAGAGTACCAGAGCTGAGCCAAAAAGTTGAGCACGTTATTTCGGGACCTTCTGGTCTTAAGCGCTGTCACGACACAGACTAAGCAGTTATAACAACAATCAATACGAAACTAACGATTTTAAATTGACTCACCACTTTAGTAGCCTGTTGGTCCCAAGCAAACGATTAACGTACCCTATTCTAGTTGAAATTCTATTACTACACTATGTTTTTTTTTTGATTCGCTATGAAAGTTTGACAGATAACATCAGGGGTGTGTGGATTCATGCAGAACATGCAGGGGTGAGTGAAATAGCTTGGGACTGCTTGGGACCGTTGTTCTGGTACTGAGTGAGCCAAAAATAATAATGATTTTCTTCGGGACCCAGTGGTCTTAGAGTTACCTCTATGACTTAACTGAATATATGAGGACCCTAAATTTAGAAGAGCTACCCTGAAGTTCATAAGGCTTTAAATATCGAAGGGTTTTCCAAAAGTGTGTGTGTCTTTCCTTAATTTCTTGGAAATTCCCTGAAGTTTGGAGAGCTCCCATGAATTTCGTAGGACTACCTGTAGTTCAATTGACTTCTCGGAAACTCTAGGAACTTTTTTGAGCTTGGAGAACTATGTTAAGTTCAGAGGACTTCCCAAGAGTATTGAAGACTTTTCTGAAGCTCGGAAAAAATCCATAAGTGTCATAGGATTATCCTTAAGGGTTAAGCAATGCCTAAATGTCGTAGAAGTTGCATTAAATCTGTAGAAAATTCTGTAAAATTCGTAGTTATTCCCCCAATTGTAAAGGACTTCCCTGAAGTTCGTAAGACTTCTCTGAAATTTTTAGAACTTCTCTGAAGGTTCGGAGAGATTCCATGACCGTCGTAGGTCATCACAGTAGTTCACAGGATTTTCCTGAAACTCGTAAGACTTTCCCGAATTTTGTAGAACTTGCATGAAGTTCGAAGGCCTTATCTGAAGTTTTTAGAAATAGAACTTTTTTATTGATCATGTTGAACAGGTACTTCAAAGTAGTTACGCGTCGGCACTGCTTAAGTCTGCTATCTATTAAGCACAAATCATACATGCAATTGATTCGAGAAAAAAATTAAATTAAAAATAAATACAAAATATTACGATATTACTATATTCCTCGCTATATTCTCAGGGTAAATTTTGTTCATCAATGTTTAGTTGTGTGAAAGGTTTAGCTTGAACAAAATGGATAGTTTTGACCTGATATTAAAAAGAAACTTTTACATACATACAATTTAAAACCTGTTGGAGTAAATCGGTAACGCAGTGTGCTGATCACCTCCTTGGAGACCGAACGTCACCCCTAGCAACCTAAGTTTTCTTAAATAAACAACGGTGAAAAACTATTCATTCCTGTTCAAGACTCCACTCAAGCTAGTCGTTAAATAAAATCCATTCTACTTTTAAACTTTGCTGTTCCGGTTCTTTCTAACTATCAAGAGGTTATGGGCGACTCACGCAAGGATTTGGTCCACGGGATCCCGCAGTTCTCGGGCACCGGTTTCGACAATTGGCAATTTCGAGTGGAGAAGTATCTGAAGTCCGTGAAGCTGTTGGATATCATCAAGAAGGATCCTCCGATGGAAGCGGCCGAGCTCACGAAGTTCCAGGAAGATGACGGTAAGGCGGCGTTCCTGCTGACGTCATTTGTTCATGACGATTTGCTGCATTTGGTGCGGGACAAGGAGACGTCCAAGGAGATGTGGATGAGCCTTGAATCCGCCTACGCCAAGAAGTCCGTCTCGTCGCAGACATTCGTCAGGAAGCAACTTGCGAAGCTACGAATGATGGAAGGTTCGTCTGTGAAAGATCACCTGAAAACCTTCGAAGAGCTGATCCGACAACTGAAGATGGCCGGAGCGAAGCTTGAAGAGAACGATATTGTGTCCCAGCTGTTTGCTACCCTTCCCGAGTCGTTCGATCCGTTGGTTACGGCACTGGAAAATCTAGGTGAGGAAAACCTAAAACTGGATGTTGTTCGCGAGCGCCTTCTTGCCGAGGAGCTCAAGAAAACCGACCGGGCAGCGGATTCCTGCCAAGAGAAACCTGCAGCATTCCAAGGATCGAAGCAGAAGCCTGGTAAGTTCACCGGAAAGTGTAACCGTTGCCAGAAGAAGAGGCACAAGGCCAAGGACTGTCGTGTGAAGTTGAAGACAGATAGGCGCGCTGAAGCTAACGCTGCTGCTGGAGGTAAGGCGGTGGCTTTTATGACCGGGAGATGCTCCCAAACAAAGGACGAGGGAGCAGTTTCCTTTAAGCTGGATTCCGGAGCCTCGGACCACCTTGTGAATGTGAAGCACTGTTTCGCCGACCTCACGAAGCTGAAGCACCCTGTCGTCATAAACGTGGCGAAGGATGATCAATCCCTGATTTCCCGGCACAGTGGCACGATCAACGGCGTCAACAAGGAAGGTAACTATATCAGCTTGAAGAACGTCCTCTTCGTACCAGATCTTCGAGCGAACTTGCTATCTGTGAAGAAGATGGCAAAAGCGGATCTTGATGTCACATTCACGAAAAAGGAAGCGATCATGAAGCAAGGTCGTGACCTGATTGCGAGATGTCCCATGCTGGGCGATTTTTACGAGCTCGATCTCCGTGTCGATACGGTGGCGGCCAACATGTGTGGAGCTGTGACTGGTAACCTGTGGCATCGTCGACTGGCTCATTTGGGGAGCAAGAGTTTGCAGACACTCGCGAAGCATGGCATGGTAACAGGTATTCCCGAGAAACCAGATAAATTGGATTTTTGTGATGTTTGTGTTCTCGGAAAGCAGTGCCGAGAACCATTCACGGGTACTAGAGTCCGTGCTACAAGACCTCTAGAACGAGTGCACTCCGATGTGTGCGGTCCAATTACACCAGCGGCTTGGGATGATTCTCGGTACTTCGTCACCTTTATTGATGATTACACGCACTTTGCAGTAGTATATCCCATCAAGAAGAAGTCCGAGGTGTTCCAGAAGTTTCGAGAGTACGAGGCCATGGCGAGTGCCGCTCTGGGACATTCGATTTCGAAGCTGACTGTCGACCAAGGGCGCGAGTATTGCTCCAATGACCAGCGTGATTGGTACGTTTCCAAGGGGATCCAAGTCGAGCCAACCGCAGCGTACACACCACAGCAGAATGGAGTGTCCGAACGGTTCAATCGGACAATCGTCGAAAAGGTGCGTGCGATGCTGATTGAAGCCCAAACTCCGAAGAATCTGTGGAATGAAGCGGTTCTAGAGGCGGTATACCTGACGAACAGAAGTCCAACCACCGCGGTATCTGATTGGAAGACTCCTGCGGAAATGTGGACTGGTCACAAGCCGGACGTTAGTAAACTACGTGTGTTCGGCTGTAAAGCATTTGCTTGGGTGTCCACGGCACAGAGGAAGAAACTGGATCCGAAAAGCAAGCCTGCTGTGATGATCGGCTATGCGCCGAACGCCTACCGCCTGTGGAACAAAGAGAAGAAGCAGTTATTCCTAGCCAGAGATGTCAAGTTCGATGAAAACAGTTTTCCGTTTGCCACCCAGATCCGTGACGAAACTCCTTTGGTTGTTGCTCCGTACGAGTTCGAGGATCAAGATGAGGAAGACGTGCAAACCCAACTATCAAGAAAACCTATTCAAATTATACAAATGAAGGCTGAAAAAAGAGAATAATTATACAGCAATGACCCCATTTTGTCAGCTAGCAAGGTATGTGTATCTTAAACTTCCATGTTGAAGGAGGAAGATATGAAATTACAATTATGTGGAGCTATTGAAAAATAACAGTCTGATGCGCGGAGAGGCTGACAGGATCGGGTCACACTGTAATGTGAATATTAGGAAGATTTATCATCATCAAACTATTCTTGAATTAATCTGGAAGAATGCTGAAAAAAATGAATCAGTATACTATTGCTTATTGCTTTTCCTTTTAGACTATCTGGCCGATTTTTCCTTATGTCAAAAAATATCACACTGCAAATTGACAGCTTAGATGACATCAACCTCGACAACAACATCTAGCATCTAAAAAAAAATAACAATATGTGTGTGCATCACGTTCATTTGTTATGTCAACAGCAATAGGTGAATAAATAAACACCACAAATAAATTGATAATTAATATTCATCGGGACAAAATAAATAATTAACTGAAAATACAGATCTTTTATGCACTCTATGGGTATTATTTTCGGGGTCTTTCGAGGGCCAAACTTGCACTGTATGGCAAACAGCAATGGAAGTCAGACAAGATGATGTTTACAGATTTTTCATGGAATTGAGTTCACTACCATGGGATTACCCCAATCTTCTGTTTTTGGACGAGGTATCATTTGATAACCGCGGAATGCTACGAAACCGGGGATATGTGGAAAGGGGTAAAAGGCTGATTTGATGCGGGGAATTCATTCGGAAGCCCCCTTTTCTTGTCTATGTATGATAGGCCGGACTGGGATGGTGGAATGTTGCTACACAGAGGGAACATTCACTCGACTTAACTTCTTTCAACATATTAGATAGTTTGCTCTATAAAGCTGGATTTGTTGTTCCATCAGCATTTTGGTCGAAAATTACCTCCCTATTAAAGTGCATCTGGCTAAATCCCATACTCTATGGATGAAACTTTCTGTTGTGTTTGCCGAAATCTGCCACCGTGCCAGATCCAGTGATCCAGAAGATTGGCCTTTGAACTGACGCGTATAGGCCAGTAGAGTGCAGGCAAACATATGTTCATCTGATTGATCCAATTCGCTCGTCTCGTTGAAAGAATATTCCGTCCTTTCCACATTCCGAATTGCACTGTCCTCCGCAGTATCATCACTAGTGTCATTGAGCGGATCCAACGTAGCTTGATTGTTCCATCCAACCGGCGTCATCGTAATCAATGATATATTCAACTTCTGGATTGGCTTCTGGGTCATCCGTATCGTCCCATAGCTTGTTCTGGAGAATCACCGCTATCCATTTTCTTTCCTGATCAATTGAAATTTTCTGTTTATCGGAGAAATCTTAAGGAAAAATACTTACCGATCGAACGGAAAAATCAAAACAAATCAACATTCAACTCGTATCGACTGAATAAACGATGCACAACCAAAACAAAGAAACGTCAAATTAGCAGTGTACAGTGAAGGCCGTATAAATCGTACCCAGTGATAAAACATAAAAATTATGAAAGAATTTTATTTCGATATTTGTGCTCAGAATTGTTCGAAAACTATCTAACTGTTGATGTTGGATGAAGTTTAAAGACTCCGCAGCCTTACTTTGATAAAAAAGTTGATTTATTTCTTTAAAAAACTGAATTTTATAACATTGAAATAAAACCCAAATATACAGAAATTATGGGTTCTACTGTGAGTCATCCACAGAAAGTGTGACAATATTTTGGTGTGACAAAATTTGTTGTGCAGCAGTCTAAAAGGGTGCAACATGTGCAATACAAATCTGAAGATGTTTTTTCTTTGAAGAACTGAAAAAGGTTGAACAGAGCTAAAAAAAGCTGAAAAAATACTTAATTAGGTAACATGAATCAACAATAACATTCAATTTTAAGTGTTATCATGCATTAGACTATTCTTGAATTAAACTGAAAGAATGCTGAAAAAAAATGAATCATTATACTGCCCATCTAAAGATGTTTCTCATCAAATGTGCATCATTGTCCATAAGAAACAATTACGCAAAGCTTCATACAATTCGGAGAAGGTTGATTCAAAAAATCGTTTCTTCGCTATTTTGCTTGGAGCATTATTTTGCTGAAAAGTTCGCTGATATTTCATCAAGTGTAAAATCAGCAAAATTTATATTTGGTGTGAAAGCCGCACTTTCCGGAGCGAGGAGCCTCCCATCCATATCAGCATACTACCAAAGGTTCCTCCGGGGTTGGTTACCCGATCTTTTCATTGGTTATACTCGGTACTGCTCCCCCAGCCGGCACCGCGGGGTTGTAACGATAGGAGTTAACGGACTCTTGACCGCTAATTGGGATTTTATGCTTACAGGAACCCGCAGTACCAATGGTACGGTTTTTCCAGCCGAACTTGAGAAATACTTAATCACAATATTATTATTACAGTAATCTCTCGATTTTGGCAGCACAAAGCATTGATGTTTCGGATACTATTCCAAAACTGCACACACTTAGGGTGATTTCTATGTAAAGTTACGTAATTTCAACATTTTTATTTAAATTTTCTGAAAGTGTTCTAACATAGCAATATTTTGATTTCATATCACCTAACAATGCAATGTGCGTGGGCCAAAACAGTTCAGTTATTCAGTCCATGTAGTTACACTAATATTGACACATTTATCACGAACAGCAGAGCCACAAAAATGTCAAGGTTTCAATGTCAGCCACAAGCTGTGGAAAACTGCTTTCTTTGCAAACTTCACTGCTTTCATTGCTATTTCCACCTAAAAGCCATGCTGCTTGTTTTGCGCGCCCACTTTGTTTTGGTCATTTCATCAAAAATTTTGCTTACCGTCATCTGCAAGGCCACATTTTCCCCGAGGTGGTAGCTCAGCATACACAACGCTATTTCGCGGCGGAAGTATGTATTCCAGATTTGGTGTTACTTGAACTAAAAGTTAGTTTTTTTTTTGAGTGGTTATCCTTTCTTCAAAATCGCTCACGAACGAGTGTCTAATTGAATAACAAGTCGTTCTCCTTCTCCGCCAAATATCTGCTGCAGTTGTTTATTGTGAGACGCTTATTGTGTACCGTGTGTGCGAATACTACTACATCACAGTCACAGTTATTATACAGTTTAGTCCGGGCCGCTTCGCACTGAGGGGGTTCGTATGAGATCACTTAGAGATCAACCGTCCAGTCTTGCGGTGGCATCGCTTTGAGACGGATCGTGTTTTCCCTTTCGTTGTAGTTCCCGCAGGTTCGCGGTGTGTTTTAAAAATAAGTTAACCAAAAGTGTCTCCTCGAAGATTTTCGGTTCGACGGTGGAAGAATTTTGTGTGGTGGATCTAGTGTGTAGAAACATAAGGAAGAGAGTGATTAGTGCGATTATCTTGAAGATAGTTATTAGATAGAAAACAGGTAAAGGTTGGAACAGGGAAGATTTTTCAATAGAGTAATTCTAACTAATCGTTATGGGGTTGAACTTTAACACTTGCCATTAACGGTTGATGCATGATCGATGTTAAGGTGAATGTTGTCGCGCTGTATTGCACCTTAGGAACGCGTAGAGTTTCTATAGTAGCCGGTAAACAATTTGCAATATTTTACAATTATTTAATAGACAAACAATGCACTGCACGCCACGATGCTCAATCCCTTGGCTCAAGGTCTTAACCCATTCGATATACATGGGATGGTGATTATGGCAGGCGCTTGCTAGCAAGGCGGTGTCGCACGCAAAGCTATTACAAGCTAATATTTACACATCTTAGGAGCAGACGACAGTCGAAGGGCACGGCTGTGCGAGGAACTCGTCTTAGTAGCAATATTGTTCGGTATGGGTAAATTTCAAGGTTAGTTGGATGATGCGGAAAGCAGAAAGGTATGCAATAAATCAATGCGTTGAGTGGTAATCTTATTGATTTTTGAGTGCGATACTGTTTCCGGTTGAGGTATATTTTCCATATAAATCTATATGTGATTCTAAGCACACCACTGTAGCAAAGGTTAGAGAATTGCCACCTACGTTCAAATAATGGTAGGATAGATATTCAATTGTAAAATATTACTCTTAATCGGAATCAGGATGAGCAAATCAAAGATAAGGTCAGTTTGAATAAATTGGCGTATAGTTAGAAACAGGAACACATTATTAAGTAATAATGAGTTGATTCATGAAATACGATAACCTCTGACAGTTTCGTGTTTCGTGGATGGTTATTACAAGGGTTCTATGTTAAGTAACACATCACTGGCAGCAATAAAAGAGTCCGGGAAGCTGTCGTTGATTATTACGCTTGCGATATCGGGATCATCTGGGATAATTGAAAACTGATTGCAGTGAGATGTGACTACAGTTAATCAACTAAATTGGTTTACAGTATCGAATGCCAAGGATAAGAGAGAACCGGACTATACTTCGAATGATTATTGCATTGCTCGAGCCCTTTAGCAATATGCATTCGAATTACGGATGATTGCCGTATGGTTGAATTCGTCATCAGATGATGAGCATCCATATGATTCTCATCCAAATAAAGGATGTTTTTTTCTGGGATTCCATGCTTTCACTGTGCATTATTAAATTGGTAAATTCTTCGATGCAATCGGTGTAAATATTTACATTATTTGACAAATCTCAGGTAATCATGACAGAGTACAGAGATGCCAGATTCACAGACATGTCTGTGAATTCACAGACTTTTATTTTTTCACAGACATTTTTTTCGTTACAGACATTTACAGACTTTTTAGTTTTTTCACAGATATTCACAGACTTTTGTAATCAAGGGAAAATTTCAAAATTTATTTTGTTACACTGTTTGAAATCTTTAATCAAATTACACGTGCGATGCATTTTATTTACAACACGCATAAGAAATTCGCGCGTTTTCAAAACCACTACATGAACGAGCTGTCACTATTATATACAGTCATAGTTATAGATTTGTCAATGTGCTGCCATGTTGTATCCAAAACGAACATTTTCTATACGATTTGACGGTTTTTTTTTATTTTGGATACGTCAACTCACGTTGGTCGGTCTATAACTTGACTGTCTCTGTCATAGTCACTGCACAGAAAAAAAGGGTTGTTGAATATTACATCCAAACTGCTGCAACCAGGTCAATCCATCGGTTGTGTAATATAACGTTGTACGATGTACATCGATTTTACGAACAAAATTACAACCATTGATGTAATATTGTATCTGCTTTTTGCTATTACATCATTATTTCATACATCAGCTTGAATTACATTGATCGATATAACATTTTTTTTGCTGTTTGTCACTGAAAAAGTGAATAAAACGGACAGTGTGTTTCCATCCTATTCCATTGATCATAATCCGTCTTACAATGCCCCCAGTATTCTGCCACTTCCAGAGAAAAAAATTCTGAAAAGTTCCAACTTTTCGTCGAGAAAAGTGCTTGAGCTTTACTGAATTAGTTATTTTAAAAAAAAATGCCATATCTCCGGAACCCAATGTGCGAGCGGTATAAAAATCATTGGCGTCCTATGAGAGAGCCGAAAAAAAAAACAAAATAAAAGTGGTTTCACTCAAATTGGTTCTGCTATCGTCGAGAAAAGTAAGTAAGTTTTACTGAATTATTTCAAAATTTCACTTTTTTGGTCATATCTACACGCAGAAAAAAATATTTCAAACGTAATTATATTTGACGTAAAATCAAAAAGAATTTCATTTTGTTTTGGCTGCAAAAAGAAATCATTATTGTTTCAACAATCCAGTATTTTTGTTCCTCAAAACCCAAGTATTGTTAAATAAAAAAAAAAAGCTTTTCGAATTTACAACAGCTTTCATGGTTTTGATGTAAGCTGTCAAATTTGGCAGCTGGGTCAACAACAAAAATATGTTTGTTTTTAAAAGAGATTTCTTGTTGATTCAATCATATTTATTTTATGAAGTCTGACAATTCACGCAGTCGAAATAAAAATATTTTAATTGTTTCAAAAATCCGGAGTGATTTGGAATTTGGACGTAATTGCTTTTGTAAACAAACACGTCAATTACTGATTTCTCTTGAATAAAAGCTCAATCTCACAAACAAACTATACCAAATGATAGAGGAATCATTCATTTACCTCATAGTGTTAATACTTTTTGAGATTGAGCTTTTATTCGCGAGAAATCGGTGATTGACGTGTTTGTTTACAAATGCAATTACGCCCAAATCTCAAATCACTCCGGAAATAATATGGCCATTTTTTTTTATGTTTTGTTTTCTTTTTCACTGATCATCCTTGGGAAGGGAAGTAAAGCCGTTGGACCCCGGTTCATTAGTTGATGGGTCGATATGTAGGGTCACGGTGTGGGAGCTGCCTTCCTGGCGTCGGGAGCATTGATACTCAGTACGGAAAACAAGATCGACTAAAAAAAATCAAGGAAAAAAACAGAAAATTGATTATATTTAGCAACTGCAGCTCGAACTGCAGCATACTTACTTACCTCTAGTCTCAAGATTTTCGGAAATTTTGCACTTTTTTCCCGAAATTTGCAAGTTTTGTTATTGTTTACATTTTTATCCGGGTGAAAACGAATGGAATGGTTGGTAGTTAGTTTTTGCATTCATGGCCCCGGGAATGGACACACCAAATAAATGCTATTTTAAAATTAACTATTGTTGGCTTAATAATAAAATATTGTTATTTTTACAATAGTTGCAGTCAGTGCTCGGAAAATCTCAAAAACTCAAATCTCATGCATGAGTTTATGCGCCTAAGAGTTTTGCCTTGCAAAATTCAACGTCGCAAAAATCACCGATGAGTTTTCAGGTTCAAAAATTCATTGCTTTATATTTTGGCGTTATTCATTGTTATTACTATTGTTTGCGCATCAGGGGTTGGAAAACTAACGCAACATGCATAGGCATGATATCAATTAACATTTGAGTGGTGGTTTTTCGGCGTTATGAGTGTGAGTGCGTGAATATGCATGAGAATCTCAAGCGTGAGTTTTGTTTGCCGCATTCGCACACGAGTTTATTCTCGCAGGGAGGCTCAATGAATGAGATTTGAGAATGATTTTCCGAACACTGGTTGCAGTTGAAAAGTGGCTTATTAAAACAAAAAGAATCCTATTTTGAATTTATATGAATAAGTATTATTGAAACAACAAAATGCAATATAATTTCAACCGGAATTGTTTGTTTAAATACAACTAAAGTTTTTTTTTTTGGTTCCATGCAAACAATTTTCTGTCCGTGTATGCAAACCAATGTGCGATCGGGATAAAATTCATTAGAGTTTTATGGGAGAACCAAGCATATAAAGTAAAAGTAGTTCCACTCAAATCGGTTCAGCTATCGTCGAGAAAAGTGAGTGAAAAATTTTGTTTACATTTCAAAATTTCACTTTTTCGATCAAGCATACGCACTTTTTCTCTTCCATAAATAAATTTCAATGAGGTTTTATGGAAAATTAATATAAATACTTGCACTAATCATTAAGCTGACTTCCATGTGATTTGAGATATCGCACGATGTGTTTCGCTGCATGCCAGAATCTGTTCACTTCCCGGAGGCACCCGGTACATCTGAAAGAGGCCATTGTTATCATAGGGGCTGAATATGTCCACCATTGATCTTATAGTAAAAGTCTAATGAGTTTTTTTTTTGTAAATTAATTTATTTGTACAAGCTCAATCAAATAAACTTTACAGAGCCAAATCATCTTTTGCGTCATACATTATTAATGTCTTAAATCTAAACTTAAAATCTAAAATTAAAGGAATTGACCGAGTATTCGCGGTCGTCTCGAGGTTAGTGGAGATTTACAGTTTCATGGATGGGAGAGGGAAAAGGGATAATTTGAAAAATGAAATGGTGGTGATGGTGATAATGATGAAAACACACTTTCCATGTTCAACTTCTAACATAAATGAAGACCAGAATATATGTGCAGCAAAAACTGTCGCTGAAAAAACCAGGACGTATGTTCAGGAAACAATGAACGAGTCGACTGGATCAGAGAGAGCCAGGAAAGATGCTCAAAATCTAGCCAAAATAATTTTTACAGAGAAACGAGTTGAATGGGCGATTGATTCTTTTGAACCTTTCAAATCACCAGGTAGGGACGGATTTTTTCCAGTACTACTCCAGAAAGGGAAAGAAACATTGACACCTATTGTTACAGACATGTTTAGAGCAAGCTTAACATTAAGCTATATTCCAATAAACTGGCATCAAGTTAAGGTTATATTTATTCCGAAGGCTAGCAAAAAGGATAAAACGTCTCCTAAATCCTTCAGACCGATTAGCCTATCTTCCATTATCCTAAAGATAATGGAAAAAATAATAGATGAGTATATAAAGTCAAAGTACTTGGTTACAATTCCTTTTAATAAATATCAGTTTGCATATCAAACTGGTAAATCAACCGTAACATCTCTTCATACTCTG